TAGACAGAAAAACTAAACTTGCTGGAAGATAAGTTAGGTAGAACTCTTGAAGACATTGGAATAGGAAAAGACTTCATGAACCAAAGCTCAGCAGCATGGGAACTAGCAGAAAGAATCAACAACTGGGATCTCATTTTATTAAAAAGCTTCTGAACTGCAAAAGAAACCACCAACAGAGCTAACAGACAACCTACGATATGGAAAAATATTTTAGCAGCTGTACCTCAGGCAAAGGACTACTATCTAGCTTATATAAAGAATTGAAAAAATCAGACCCCCCAAAGTCAAAGACTCAATTCAAAAATGGGCATCTGAAATGAAGAGGTATTTCTCAGACAAAGAAGTAAAAGCAGCAAACAAATATATGAAAAAATGTTCAACATCACGCATCATTCGAGAGATGCAGATGACAACAACACTGAGATTTCACCTCACCCCAGAAAGAATGGATGCTATCAAGAAATCAACCAATAACAAATGCTGGTGGGGTTGTAGGGAGAAAGGAACCCTTTTCCATTGCTGGTGGGAGTGCAGACTGGTGCCACCACTGTGGAAGTCAGTATGGAGATACCTGAAAGAACTAGGACTAGAGGTCCCATTTGACCCAGCTATTCTCCCTGCTGGCTATCTTCCCAAAATAATTAAAAGAATCATACCACAGTGATATATGTGCACCAATGTTCATAGCAGCACAGTTTCTAAGAGCTAAAGCTTGGAATCAGCCCAAGTGACCATCAACTGGAAACTGGATAAAGAAAATGTGTTTTTTTTTAATAAAATGGAGTACTACACAGCCACAAAGAATGAAAAACTAGTCATTTATAGCTAAATGGATGCATATTGAGGCCATAGTCTTAAGTGAAATAAATAGGCTACACATGTGTAAATACCGAATAGTTTCTCTAGTGTGAGAAACTAATAGTGTAAACAAGGGTTACAATGATTAAAATGAATAATTGATAATTTGAAATAGGAAAAAAGGTCCAAAGATGAAGGAGTGAAGGCAGGGGAAGGGGAAAGGAAAAACTGTGAGAAAAGAAAAAAAGAAATGGAAATTAAATCTATCTAAATAGGGAAGGGCGGAGGGAGTGACGGGTGCACAGGTAATGGAGAAAAAATAAGAACCAAGATATATCATGTACAGGTACAAACACCCAATGATAAATGTAAATGAATTGTATACCTAAAATGTACCCATAAAAGAACTAAAAAAAAAAAATTGTATTTGGGGTTTTGTCCTTCCAGAAGTTCTTACTGCTGACCATGGTGCTTTCTTGGGAAGTGGTTCTGATATGCAAAATGTTGCTGGAGTCACACTGAAACGTATTCATATGAAGAAGATTTATGAAAATCATTCATAGAGATAACTCATTTATATAGTATTCTAAAGCAGGTGTTGATATATTTGGCAGTTTATTTTGTTCAGAAACTATTAATTTTACTATTGTTTTGTAGTGGGTAAAAAAATACCTGAAATACATGTCTTAAAAATAAAAGGATTTTTTAGCTCATGGTTTCAGAGAATGAAGTCAGTTGTTATTAGACTTGAATGGAGAAATAGTGGAAATAGTTCATAGTGGAAAGAAATGAAGAAAGACTTCTACATGAGAACCAGGAAGCACAGAGCAAAACAGGTGTCAGAGAGGAAGGTGGAGGGAGAAGATAAGGTCCCTAATGTCACAACTTCAAGACTCAACTGGGCACACCAGTGGTGTGTTTTACTAATATCCTTTGCACCTCTCATGCCAAACAAGATATTGATCAAGAGTGTCACAGGACTCCAGGAAATATTTTCCTTCTAACAATATTAATGTGTTTAAAGACAGAGAGTTGCAACTTTTGAAGAGGGAATTACAGGGCACAAGGAGCTTACAGTCTGAAGTCCTTAGGTTTCCCTTCCTCAACACCAGAAAGTGTGTTTTTTCAGCAATCATATGCCTCTCTTTGGCATGTATTTTCTTAAATTAGAATGAGTAAGTCAAGAGATACAGTATGGTAAAGGCTTGTCCATGAAGCCAAGAACCTTATTCCTAATTTCCTTCTCTTCACGACAGCAGGGCTCCCTCTTTTCCATTGTGTCCTGGCTTTGCCTGGGCTTGTGACACTCATAGTGATTTCTCCATGGTGAGCTAACTCTGGAACTGGCTTAGCAGACTGGTGGCCCCATTTGGAAGAGCAATACACAGGAAGAGCCCACCAAGTCCAGTAAGAAGACTGGGGTAACCAGGCATGGTGGTGCATCCCTGTAAGCCCAGCACGGGAGAACCTGATGCAGGGGGGTCACAGAGAGCTCAAGACCAGTCAGGGATACTGGGTGAGTTTCAGAGCAGACTAAATTACATAGCAACGCCCTGTCATAAAACAAAAAGAGACAGAACCAGCTCTGCAAAGCCAGAGCAAACTTTTCTTAAATGCAGGCTAAGACAGATCAGCATCCTGGGAGACAAACTGGTCAAGAAGTGTCTGGGTTATAATCTCCCATTTGATTTGTGCTCACACTGGTAAAGATTCACTTCTGTCGTCGCCCTCCACTCAGGAGGCTGGCAGTGGAGCAGGAGCCAATCAATGTTGAGGGGCAGGCCGTATGAACTGTCCAATCAGATGTCCCAGGCGGGAGGACTTTGTTTCCTGGTGGCAAAGCCACAGATCCTGAGCTCAGTGCTGAGAGCCGCCCCACCCTGTTGGCCGCCCTACTTTATGATTTCTACTGGCTGCAGGCTGCATGGGAAGGACCCGCGAGACCCTCCAGACACGCGATGGTGATGTTGTGGGACGGGTGCCCTGACAGGGGTGGTCGGGGTGAGGTCTGGGAGGAAGCGTGGGAACAGCAATGGCGGCCGGGGCCTCCCGCTGCTCCGGAGTCAGAGTTCCTCCCGGTCTGGGTGCCTTGTACACTCTGTCCCTCCCACCCTGCCTCGGGCAGGTCTACTGTGTGTGCAGCACCCCATCTGTCCACTGCCACCCCGCCAGCCTGGAGTACAGTCTCGGCAGCCGCAGCCCACAGCTGCATCTCTAGCTGTGCACAGAGCCTGGGGATTGTGGGCAGACCCTGATTCTGCTGGTAATCGAGCTGGGGGCTGTGGTGTGCTGGATCCCTAGTCTCATTCGTCCCTCCAGCAGATCTGCAGGAGCTCAGTTTTATAAATGTGTGGGATAGAGGGTCTCAGAGCCACACTGAAGCCCCTCAGGCCAAGGCTGCTCTGTGATGAGAGTAGATTGCCAAAATTCCAACATGGGCCCTCAAGCCAAACTCAGGATAAGTGATAATCAATGCCCTGAGAATTGAAAGAAAGGGTCAGCAGGTGTGGTGGTGCACACCTGTAATCCCAGCACTCCGGAGGGTGAGACAGGAAGTTCGCTGGGAGTTGCAGTCCAGTCTTAGCTACCCAGTGAGATGAAGGGCAGCCTAAAAACTACATATGGAGAAAAAACAATCAAAAACAACAACAAAACCTAGAAAAAAAAAGAAAAAAAATTTTAAAAATAGATATGTCCAATATTGCTCACGATGTGAGACAGTGGTAGAGTGCTTGCTAAGCATGTAGTGAACTCCTGTGTTACATACATAGAAGTGCAAAAACAATTTTCATCTTAATGATTGATGCGCCACCTCTACTAACAGACCACTTAAGTGAGGCCTTCCCATGGAGCTTAGAATGCAGAGAGAAGTGGAGGGGATGTTAACTGTTAGCAAGGGCAGGAGAAAGTGTTCCTGCTAAGGACCACTTCCAGAAGGAGCTGCATGTTACGCAGTGTGGGAATCATTAAACTTGGGCATCTATACTGACATGTGATTTGGTAGTAGAAAAAAAGCGGGATAGCACCTCAAATAATTTCTGTAGACCTTGGAGCACAGACACTGTTTTAAGAATTGAAATGCTGATTGAGGTGGACTTTATGTTAAAGGAATATTGTAGTAGGAGTGAAGCCTGAAATGTGAGATCAGGAGCAATATGAATGATTAGTGATAAGAGTTTTCTCTGCTAAGAAGGGCAGATGGGAGGAGAAAGATTGTGGGAGAGGAGGGGATGGTGAAGGTTGTAAAATCCATGCCTACAACAGAGAGGGTCTACCCTTGAGGTCAGAGTGTTAGTGTGACAATGAAGAACTTTGTGTACTGCCACAGACTGGGAATGGGTGAAATATCACAGGCATTAAGGAAAGAGAAGACTTAGTAAAATTTAGATCAATATGTCTTCTGTTACTACTGATCAGGTAACATAGTTAATATTTATTGGTTTTTTGAGATAGGGTGATTCTATGTAGTTCAGGCTGGCCTTGATCTTACTATGTAGCTCAAGTTTGCCTCCAACTTGTAGCAATCCTCCTGACTCTGCTTCCTGGATACTGAGAATAGAAGTGTGTGTCAGCACACTCATCTCTAATTGTTTTTGAGGAAATTAGGAAATTCTGTGCGATTGTCTGCTTAAAAATTGGTGGCTGTCATCATCTAAGTGTAATGGAAAGGAATTTCTCCAGGATACAACAGATTTTAGGTGTGGTTGATGTTTTTATTGTACAGAAGATTTAACCTGGGACTTTTCTCTGAACTAAATTTTCCACACCTTTTAATAATTTTTAAATTTTGAGAGCAGGTCTCACTATGTTGCCCAGACTGCAGCAAATTTTTGATCTTGTTTCAGCCTCCTGGAGTGCCAAGATGCCAGGAATGTGCCACCATGCCTGGCTAAGATGGGGGTTCCTTCATCACCAGTCTTAAGCTGGATCACTGTCCTTGGTGAAATGAAACTTCAGTGAGGCATGGTGCTGCCCACCTTTCATCTGAGCCACTTGGGATACTGAAGCTGGATTATTGAAATAGCAAGGCCAGGTTGGAGAATGGACCATGAGCCAGATCAACATACAGTAAAATCACTGGGGCTGTGTCTTCAATTAAAGTAATTTGTGTAACATGTGCAAGGCCCTGAATTCAGTCCAGTACTAAAGCATAAAAGAAAAAGTGATAATAATCAGTAGAAAATTTACTTTGATTTGGAATTTTATACTGTTTGCACACTAGTGGTCTGTGGCACAATACTTGCTCCAGATGCTGGGCAGCAGCAGTGAGTCCCTGCTGTCAGTGACAGGACACCAAGTGACAACATCCAGTGATCTACATTGCAGCACATTCAATAAACTACATGGGGTATTTAATATTTTATCATGAAATAAGCTATGTGTTACATACATTTTCTCAAATACAGGTTAATATAAGTGTGTTTATCAGTTTTAAAGGAGGCAAGGCTTAGCAAAGTTTGCTGATTATGTATGTTCAGTGCATTTTCAATATGTTATAGTTTGAAGTGCCTGTGGGTTGATCAAGATATTTCCCCTTGATAACTGAAGCAGAATGTGTAGACTCATTCCTTCAACTCTTTGTAAAGTGCTTCTCTGTAGAATATGAAGCTTATCAGATAGTACCCAGTGTTGAGTGCTGTATTAATCAGGTTCTTCCAAGGAACTGAACTGGGATACATTATGAGTAGTGATTTGATTTTTTTAAAAAGCAGGGCTATGGCTTTTGTGTTCTGGTTTTGGTTTGGTTTTTTTGGTTGTTTATTAATTTTAGTATTATAGAGAGATGCATCATTCTGGTCACAATGTCTTGCTTGTTCCTTGAGGACAAGGAGATAGGATAGGCATTGGACCACAAGACACTGTGTATGTATACTGCTGAAATGAAAACTCTTCCATTCCTAGTTCTATTTTGTGCTGATTGTGGGAACCATTGTTACTGCCTCAGTCTTGGAGAAAGTGTTTGGCTTTCTACTGTACCCTTTTCTGTTTTCCCATTACCTCTTCCTGGCCTTAATGGACTGAACTCCTGTCTGCCTGGAACAGTCACCTCCCAGACTTGAGGCTCTTTCTCCTTTGCAATGATTTACATTACTCTAGGGGAGATGACCACAAGCATTTGTTCTGTGTTCCATATGTGGCTGGAGTATGCAGTCTCTGAAATTCTCCAGAGTTCTGAATTCTCCATACCTTGTAGAGAACTCTCTCATGTTGACATCCTCAAGAAGCCTGTAGGAATGGCCTCTGCAGAAGGGGCACAGCTGAGATAAAGCACAGAGCTTCACTTCACTTACCTCTAGTCTGGCCTCTACCTCCGCACTGTGTGTCATCATAGCACAACAAGCTGTGGAGATCTTTGTGAGGTTTTGCTCTAGTAGAATCTGAAAGGAGGTGGGGAGGGGTAGAAGAAGAGAAAAACTACCTGGCATGGTGGTGCATGTCTGTAATCCCAGAACTCAGGAGGCTGAATCAGAAGGATTGCCATGAGTTTGAGGGCAGTCTGGGCTACATAGTAAGACCCTGTCTGAAAAAATAAATTAATTCAAAATAAGTAAAAAAGCATTTAAGTACAGATGGAGAGATATTTGTGTCACTCATCTTGGATTTGTAATGCAGAGTTAGAAAAATGTCACCATGTGGGATCTTTTTGCCCTCTCAGGGTGCCACATCATCCAGGATCTTATGTGTCTGCTGGCCCTACTAAGTCAGATATTCAGCCACTGGTGGTGATTCCATACTTCAGAAAACATGTGCATGTAACATAATACCTCACTTGTCTTTTCTAAAGTCTTTGGAAAGCAGGATTCTCAAGTTCTATCAGTGATATAAATGCACTGGAAATATTCTCTTTCCTGCTGCCCTAGAGACAAATTAGAGACCATGCTGCTGTTGCTCAGGAGCATGCTTGCTAGTGCACAGAGCATGTATCAATTTCAAATTGAACACATGCTGTCCATACTAGCACCAGGGGGCAATAATTCCTATTTCTCTTCCTGACAATTACCAAATGTTTTCTTATTTGCTGAATTTTTCTGATTTGAATTGATATTCCATTCCATTTTTCCATTTATGCCTTCTTTTTCCCCCTTTCCTTTATAGGCCTTTCTCTAATTTATTTGCTTATATTATGTGTTCACATTTGTGTTGAGGATAGTTTCTTAATAACCTATTTTCTCTTTTAGTTATTTATCACTTGTAGAGAATGAAAATACCTTCTACAATTTTTAATCCACAGGTTAACTTCATTAAGGATATTCTTTGCTGAACAGAAATCATGTTACTCTCTTTGTATCTTTTTATAGTCACCTTAACATTTGTGCCTTTACAAATTTGTATCTGAAGATTTTCCCACTCTTACCAAATGAGAAAATGATTTTCTTATGTTTTCATCCGTGTTTTACAGTTTCTTATTTTGTATTTTTGCCTTATGTCTGCCTGGAGTGCTCCTTTGAAATTTTGTGATGAAAACTCAGGTTTACTCAGCCCATAATACATACATACAGTTTACCACCATAAATGTGGGATCAATCACCTGTTCCTCTTGATTTGTGCTGCCAGTCATGTCAAATTTCACTTTAAAATAAAGCAGAAATATTTCTTGATATTTCTAATAAATTTAGTGTTTAGTCTAGTCTAAATGTTGTCTCATATTCAGACTTAAATGACTGTAACTCTATACTGTGTCCCAGAAAATGAAGAGTAAAAATTCTCTTTCGTTTTTTATTTGAGATTTGAAAAGTATAGTGCTATCCTTTGTGTTTCAGAAAGGGTTGTAATAGATGTTTGTCACATTCACAGTTACTTCAGTAGCATTATAAATATGATTGTATTAATAATATAATTTAAAGAATATATAGCACATCATCAACTCTAAGTCTGTACATTATTTTCTATATATTCAGATCATCTTCTCCAATTTATTTTTCTTTTGGATTTTTGGGACTGGGACTCCTTGTGTAGTTCT